GTATGTTTCATTCTGACTGAAGCTCATGATAATGTTATAAAACAGTATGTTTCATTCTGACAGAAGCACATAATGTTATAAAACAGTATGTTTCATTCTGACTGAAGCTCATGATAATGTTATAAAACAGTATGTTTCATTCTGACAGAAGCACATGATAATGTTATAAAACAGTATGTTTCATTCTGACTGAAGCACATGATAATGTTATAAAACAGTATGTTTCATTCTGACTGAAGCTCATGATAATGTTATAAAACAGTATGTTTCATTCTGACTGAAGCACATGATAATGTTATGAAGCTCTTCGCGAAAATTCACTGTGGTAGACCCGGCTGCTGCTTGCCCAGATCTACAAGCCTGCTCATCCTCGACTCATCATACCAGCAACGCCCACATCTAATCAACCAATAACCACCAGGACAGCAAGTTAAAAGCCGGAGACGCCCACTTCCCAGCCTTCTGAAGTCCGCAAGCTTCTGAAGTCTGCAAGCTTCTGAAGTCTGCAAGGTGTATGTCGCTAACGCACCTGTTCGCAAATACATGCGTTGTTCTGGAGGGGTCGCTTCTGCTCACGTGTTGCTCGTGCGCGTGGCCCGGCTGTTCTCAGTCTGGCTGCTTGTGGTCTGCTCCTCCTCCGTGTCCCTGCACCTGCCGTGGTTCGCGTGTCTCCACTGCTCTCCTCCTCTGCGGGCTCTTTCTGCGGGCTGCTCCGCGGGGCCCTTCCGGGGGTTCTGTGCTGCTCGTTCCTCGTGGTCTGCTGCCGCGCGCAGACGGTCTGGCGGTGCCGCGTTGTCCCGTTGCTTTTCCCAAGTCTCCTGGCATGTGAGTACTGTGAGTGTGCTGACCGCGGACGGATTAATCCCGGATTCTGGGCTGCAGGCTTGGTTTTTGCCCCGCGCACTGGACTGCAGGCTTCGTTTCACATGTGTTTGAGCTAACTGAGGGGCAACGCATGTTAAATGGCATCAATCTCTATCGTCTGAGGGATATAAGAGGAGCAATGTGCATTAATTCAGATTCATGTTCTGCCACTTGCAGTAAAACCACGTTGGAAAAAATTTGCAAGACTACCCCCTTGTGCTCCGGACGGCACACACCAGAGCTCTTGCCACGGCGCCATCTTTACAGCATTAATCTCATTACTCGCAGGTCACTATTGTTAAATGATCGTATTGAATTCGTCTATCTGCAGGAGGAAGGAGGGGCCTGCATTTAAATAGCTAGGTCACTGGTATTAAATCAGGTAACTAAACTGCAGTTGTTGCATTTTGAAAGTGCAGCAGAAAGAAAAAGGGCCCAATGTGAATCTGCAATGGGTGTGAAGTGGTGTTGGAGCTAATGAACGTGTGGAAAAGTGATCGTTCATGCGTATCTGCCATAACCAAAGCAGCAAGATGGCTCCAGGGGACATCTGTTATTCGCATGGGAATGTTTCGGATTCGGGTTGATTTATTTCCTCAGGCTGTTAAACAACCATGGGCATGGTTCTCTGACCGCCGCTGCTGCCGGTCCCTGCTGCCGCTCCTGCTGCTGCCTGTTCCTGCTGCCGCTCCTGCTGCTGCCTGTTCCTGCTGCCGCTCCTGCTGCCGCTCCTGCTGCTGCCTGTCCCTGCTGCCTGCTCCGGCTGCTCCTACTACTACATGTGCCGCTGCTGCTGTTCCTGCCGCTGCCGCTCCGCAGGCTCCTAGGCTGCACCTGTCTCTACGGCTCGGCTCTTTCAGACACGTATGTAACCTGGCTCACGGAGACGAGCGGCGCACGCTGGCGTGACACGTCTGTTTGTTTGTATGAATCGCATTGTGGTGCTGCTGCTCCTGCTAATGCTGCTTCTGCTGCTTCATACTGCTACCGCTACTGCTGCTACTGCCGCCGCTGCTGCTTCATACTGCTACTGCTGCCGTGCTGCTGCTGCTTCATGTACTTGACATCTCTCTTCACTTCGCATCTCTTTTACTGAAACACTAAACAGTACTGAAACACTGAACAGCTACAACAACATTCTACTGCTGTGGCTTGATACAGGATTATTACTGTTATTTTCTAAGGATGCTGCTGCCGCTGCTGCTGCTGCTACTGCTGCTGCCGCGGCTTGATACAGGACTATTGCTGTTATTATCTGAGGTTACTGCTGCTGCTACTACTACTGCTGCAACCCACTCTCTCAGAAGCTTATCCTGCTTCTAATGGATGCTGCCCGGCTGAGTATGCCGCGCCGCACTGGACTCGCACCTATGCTCCCAGGGTCGCTTCGGCGGTCATGCTTCATCTCTCTACTTAATCTTCTGATTCTATCAGATGCAGCTGGCCGAGTAGCTGCGCTGAGCCGTCAATCGGACTCCTAATCAAACGCATCCATACCTGTGTTCTTCACTCTTCTGATCGCAGGCTCCCCATCATGCTGCCCATCCTGCAGCGGCACTGAACTCCGGCTCATCTTCCAAGTACATGTTTGCCCTCCTCGCAGCATCTTCCTGCTCGCCTTCTATGGCTTCCCTGCATAAGCGTTTCACTACTGCTCACTCAACCTTCATGCGGTCCGAGACACGGCTTTCCCGACCATCCTACTATCCTGATTATCTACTCTCCAACCCAAGATTCTAAGCGTAAGGGCGCCTGCAAACACCAATGGCCCTCTCCGATGTGTCTCTGCCCCTACAGGTCTCCGCTTCTACACGGACGCTGCCCCTTCCGTGGGTTTTGGGGGGTTCTTCCAGGACCATTGGTTGGCCGGGCCGTGGCCGCTACTTTCCACCGGAGCATCTCTTCTGCCCTACACGAAATATTCCCAGTGATCGTGGCCTGCGCGCTGCGGAATCACACGTGGCAGAGAAAGAGGATCTCTGTCATGTGTGATAATCTCGATTTAGTGGAAGCATTACACAAAGGTCGCTCTTTTTCACCCAACTTAATGTCCCCTGACCATTTCAACCTTCATCTCAAACATTCAAAAAATCAAAGGAGCCTGCAATATAGTAATAGCTCGCTCGGACACATCTCTCTGCCCCTACAGGTCCATGATGCGTTACACTCGCCTCCGCTGCAAAAAGGAGATTTTAACGGACCTCTCTTTCTCACTCCAGACATTCTTCCCATGACAGCAACCTGGTTCAGAGCTCAACTAAGATCCCTACTGCTCCTCTGTAAATTGTCTCCCCAGCTCTACACAGCTCACTCATTCAGGATAGGCGCTGCCACGCGCGCGGCCTCGCTGGGGCTCCCCCACACCTCTCTGCAACAGCTGGGGCGCTGGTCCTCTTCGGCCTTCTCCGCCTACATCAGGCCAGACGCGTCCGCCATCCTGACTGCACAACGGCAACTGGCTTCCTCGTAAGCTCCCAGCAAAGCAATACAAAGCAAAGTAAGTGAACCTATAAGATTCTGGTGGCGGCACGCACTTTAAAGAAACTCTGCTGCAGCGTCTGGTATCGATTGTGATGCGAGCGCTCACGTCCCAGGCAGCGTCCGGTTGATCGTGATGCGAGCGCTCACGTCCCGGCGCTTAAAGGCAACTCTGCCGCAACGTCTGGTATCGATCGTGATGCAAGCGCTCACGTCCCAGTCAGCGTCCGGTTGATCGTGATGCGAGCTCACGTCCCGGCGCTTAAAGGCAACTCTGCTTCAACGTCTGGTATCGATCGTGATGCAAGCGCTCACGTCCCAGTCAGCGTCCGGTTGATCGTGATGCGAGCTCACGTCCCGGCGCTTAAAGGCAACTCTGCTTCAACGTCTGGTATCGATCGTGATGCAAGCGCTCACGTCCCAGTCAGCGTCCGGTTGATCGTGATGCGAGCTCACGTCCCGGCGCTTAAAGGCAACTCTGCTTCAACGTCTGGTATCGATCGTGATGCAAGCGCTCACGTCCCAGGCAGCGTCCGGTTGATCGTGATGCGAGCACTCACGTCCCGGCGCTTAAAGGCAAACCTGCCGCAACGTCTGGTATCGATCGTGATGCGAGCGCTCACGTCCCAGGCAGCGTCCGGTTGATTGTGATGCGAGCGCTCACGTCCCGGCGCGCAAAGATAACTCTGCCCGTTTTTGGGGATTATGCGTGCGAGCAAGCGCCGCACTCAACAGAATCTCTCCCGGGCCTGGGGCGCCAAACATGCTCAATCAACAAACTTCTAACTGCATTTTCCCTCTTGGGTCTCTCCAAAGTGAAATGAAGCTCTTCGCGAAAATTCACTGTGGTAGACCCGGCTGCTGCTTGCCCAGATCTACAACCCTGCTCATCCTCGACTCATCATACCAGCAACGCCCACATCTAATCAACCAATAACCACCAGGACAGCAAGTTAAAAGCCGGAGACGCCCACTTCCCAGCCTTCTGAAGTCCGCAAGCCTCCGCCGCCCCACCTCCTCCGTTTCTCATCGAAGCGTGCTTGCCTACTGCCTCTGCCGCCACCAGTGCCTAGGCCCCGGGGAGGGATTATGCGTGCGAGCAAGCGCCGCGCTCAACAGAATCTCTCCCGGGCCTGGGGCGCCAAACATGCTCAATCAACAAACTTCTAACTGCATTTTCCCTCTTGGGTCTCTCCAAAGTGAAATAAAACAGTATGTTTCATTCTGACTGAAGCACATGATAATGTTATAAAACAGTATGTTTCATTCTGACTGAAGCTCATGATAATGTTATAAAACAGTATGTTTCATTCTGACAGAAGCACATGATAATGTTATAAAACAGTATGTTTCATTCTGACAGAAGCACATGATAATGTTATAAAACAGTATGTTTCATTCTGACTGAAGCACACGATAATGGTCTAAAACAGTATGTTTCATTCTGACTGAAGCACATGATAATGTTATAAAACAGTATGTTTCATTCTGACTGAAGCTCATGATAATGTTATAAAACAGTATGTTTCATTCTGACAGAAGCACATGATAATGTTATAAAACAGTATGTTTCATTCTGACTGAAGCACATGATAATGTTATAAAACAGTATGTTTCATTCTGACAGAAGCACATGATAATGTTATAAAACAGTATGTTTAATTCTGACAGAAGCACATGATAATGTTATAAAACAGTATGTTTCATTCTGACTGAAGCACATGATAATGGTCTAAAACAGTATGTTTCATTCTGACTGAAGCACATGATAATGTTATAAAACAGTATGTTTCATTCTGACTGAAGCTCATGATAATGTTATAAAACAGTGTTTCATTCTGACAGAAGCACATGATAATGTTATAAAACAGTATGTTTCATTCTGACTGAAGCACATGATAATGTTATAAAACAGTATGTTTCATTCTGACAGAAGTACATGATAATTTTATAAAACAGTATGTTTCATTCTGACAGAAGCACATGATAATGTTATAAAACAGTATGTTTCATTCTGACTGAAGCTCATGATAATGTTATAAAACAGTATGTTTCATTCTGACTGAAGCACATGATAATGTTATAAAACAGTATGTTTCATTCATACATTTAAACATAAAATACATTCACATGCACGGCCCAGCCGCGGCCAGGGATAGGCCTGGTTAGGCCAGTGCCTACCAGTTTTTTTCTTGGCCTTCCCAATTTTGTTCTTCGCCTCTCAAGTCATTAGACTTTTTTGTTTAAAGTCATAATTTCAATATTTTTATTTTTATACACACATTATTAACTAAATGTTGCGTTCTAATCTTTTTTTTAGAAAATATAACCCCCTGAGCGTCATCACGTTCCTACGTTGCTTCAAATATAGTTCCGTTTATTGGCTGAACAATTTTGTCCAATAAGCTGCATGATCATATCACACAGCGCGAAGCTCGTTCCCCGAGAACAACAGCTATTCCTCCTCTTAAGGACTGACAATGCTCTCAAAACATTCACAACAGAGTATCCTTTTTCATTTTATTTTTAAGAAAGTTCAGCGTGAACTTCTTGAGGTGGCCCGTAGGTCCCAGAGGAGGAGAGCGCAGTCAGGCCAGGCTCGCCTCGTACATCTTAAAGCTGCTTTCAATATCTTTTCAAATCTGTTTTCCTTTTCTCCATAGCATGTCTGTAACAAAAGTTCTCATAATCTGAAGTCAGCGTATTTACATGGTTTTATGAAACAGAATTCTGAGAAAAACAGGTTTAAAGATCGACATTCTAAACATAATCATCACAGTCACATATAACAAAAATTTGAATTACTCTGTTATGGCACACTTGTTTTAGTCACTATGTTGTAGAAGATTAAAAAGATGTTACTTTGGCACCAATTAAACACACAACACTCATGAATTAGTCGAAAATCAAGAATGTATTGATTCTTTCAATATTCAATGGATTGAATTTTGACCTCCTTCTTTTTCTTTCTCTTTATAATTTACTGAAAATTAGAATTAGATATATCAAATCACGCAGTCTAAATATCCACAACCACCAAGCATTTTTAATGCAAGGAGAAACTTTAAACACAAATAAAACAAGTCTGTAACAATTTGCCTAACTTTTCAAGACACCAGAGCTACAACGCTTTAAAAGGGTCGCGAGAGGAGATGTCACATCAGCGGGGTGAAATAAGCACAGATACAGAACATGCATTTGGCACAAGACTGGCTATTTATTACTGATCCCAGTCAACTCACACTGCGCCAACACCCCCCCACGCTCGAGCGCGACCCCACACAACAAAACATAATATGATCACAAACAGCCACTAAGAACTCAATATGTGGAAACAAAAAGAAAGAGTCAGTGTCAGTGGTGAAGCCACGGTGTACTCACGGCCCCGCGCATGCACCAAGGTTCACAAAAACGGGTCCTGGAGCCCACCAGCAACCATGGAGAGATAATCCACAGAGTCTCGTTTGATCCCTCTGCACACGGTAATCCAAAAAGAACGATACTCCAACAGAGATTATAATCCACAAAAACTCCAGGTAGAGGTGCTGGCCTGACTCCAAGTCGGCGTCTGACGTCAGAACACGCGCGCCCCCGCGCTAGTGCCCGTCACTCCTAAATAGAGTCCCCAAGCGCGCCACCAATGGCAAAACCATAATAGCATCAGTACCTGGAGACTTATGAAACAAAACACAACACAGACCTGGTACACAAAATTGGTTGAAAAATACCGAATGTCACCCCTCCTGAGCGACACTAAGGTAAGGACCTATGCGGGCGTTACATTCCCCCCCCCAGCCAGCGGCTTGACGGGTCCAAAATAGGGCTTCATGTCTACCACGTTTATAGTATCCACCTTCTTCTTATCGGACAACCAACAAATCTGGTAATTTACAGGTCCTAAGCTTTTCTCTACTCTAGCCGGCCCTAACCACTTGGGTGCAAGTTTGGCAGAGAATCTCGCAGAAGCTTTGGACAACGGATGCGACCTAACCCAGACCAGACTACCGACAGCAAAGTGTACATCCCTGCGTCGTGCATTATAGTATCTGGCTTGTCTGGCTTTGGACACGCCAACGTGTCTCGCAACCTCCTCCCTTAACTGAGTGTGTGTCTGAAGAGTCTGGTATGCGGGTGTATGTGGAGCAGGAGCTCTGTGAACAAGTCTCTCAAGTGGCCCCAGGAGCTCTCGACCCAGAGTCAGCATGGCAGGTGTCACGCCGGTGGTCTCATGTACCGCAGTGTTAAGAGCCAACCGAAACTCAGGCAGCCACCTGTCCCAGTCTTGGTGCTGGTTCCCAACATAAGAGGCAATCATGGTCTTGAGGGTGCGATTAACTCTCTCTGTCATGTTGGTTTGGGGGTGATAGGCTGTGGTGAGTTTTTGGGTGACGCCCCAGGTTTCACACAGTTGGGCCAACAGATGGCTTGTGAACTGAGGGCCTCGGTCAGACACCATGAACTTCGGAACGCCCCAGCGGGTAAAAATCTCATCTTTCAGGACCTTGCAGACTTTGGGGGTTTTGGCATCCTTCAAAGCAAACACCTCGACCCATCTGCTGTAGTAGTCCACAACTACCATTAGCACGGAGTTGCGGTCTTTGCTGAGTGGGAATGGTCCCATGAAGTCCACACCGATCATTTCCCCCGGAACCTTGACCTCAGTAGACTGCAGGAGCCCGGCCGGCTTTCCAAGGGAACATTTGTACTGCTGGCAGATAGTGCACGTACGGACGTGTTGCCAGACGTCGTTGCGGACAGATGGCCACCAGGCCACCTGGAGGATCTTCAAAAGGGTTTTCATCCTGCCCAGATGTCCACCAAATGGACTGTGGTGATAGTACAACAGGAACTGGGGCACCAACGCGGCCGGAACCACCACTTGGTAATTAAAACCTCCGTACTTGGAAGGTACGCCTCTGTACCACACGTCCTGTTGGAGTTGGTAATGGATGCGACCCGGGCTTGCTTGGCGGTCAGACGGCCCGAGCTCTTGACAGGAAGGGTCCGCCTCTTGGGCCTTAGCAATCTCCTGCAGGGAACAAGGGATGTCTGACCAATATGTTTTTGGCACAGTCAGGCAAACCTGTCCAGCTTGGGGAATGGGGGCACGTGAGAGGGCATCAGGGACCACGTTGCAGCATCCTTTTTTGTAGTGGACTCTGAAGGTAAACGCTTGAAGACGTAATGTCCAGCGGGTGAGGCGTGAGGATGTCTTGGGGCAGTTGAACGCCCAGGCCAGGGCACTGTGGTCAGTGTACACGTCAAATGTGGTGCCCTCAAGGAAGTGCTTCCACTTTTCTATTGCCCACACGACTGCCAAGCATTCTTTCTCAGCGGTGGAATATCGGACCTCGGCGCCCTGAAGAGCTCGGGATGCAAACGCCACAGGACGCTCCTCACCGTCAATTTCTTGTGTGAGAATGGCTCCCAATCCCACATCACTGGCATCACAGTGGACTTGGAAACCGAGCTGAGGTTGTGGCTGGGCTAGGACTGGTGGGGATTGAACCAGGACCTTGAGTCGGTCGAAGGCCCTCTGACACTCCGCAGACCACTCCCATTGCACATCTTTTTTTTTTAGATGGTTCAGGGGTGCAGCAATGTCAGCGAATCGCGGAATGAACTTGTGGTACCATCCGACCATACCCAGGAATCGTTGGAGACCTTTTATCCCTGTCGGTGGAGGGAACTCCATGATAGCCGACACCTTGGTGGGATCCACCTCTACTCCCTTTTCTGAGACAAGGTGGCCGAGAAAGGTGAGCTGGCGCTGAAACAAACAGCATTTTTTTACGTTGAGCGTCAGGTTTGCATGGTGGAGCTTGGCAAACACTGCATCAAGGTCATGGAGGTGCTGTTCTTCCGTTTTGGAAAAGATTATAATGTCGTCAATGTATACGAAACAGACTTTTCCCCTCAACTCGCCTAGGACGATCTCCATCAGTCGCTGGAACGTAGCCCCAGCGTTGCGCAGACCGAAAGGCATGACCTTAAACTGAAACAAGCCCAGATGGGTGGTCATGGCTGTTTTGAGCTTGCTCTCATCGTCCATAGCAACCTGCCAGTACCCACTCTTTAAATCCAGGGAGCTAAAGTACTGAGCGCCTTCCAGGGACTCTAGAATCTCATGAATCAGGGGCATGGGATACGCATCATGCCTCGTCATTTCATTTAAGCCCCTGTAGTCCACGCAGAATCGTGGAGTTCCATCCTTTCTCGGAGTGAGGACCACTGGAGAGGACCAAGGGGATGCGGATGGCTCGATGACACCATTGTCAAGCATTTTTTGGACTTGTTCTTCGATAACAGCTTGCTTATGGGCCGATACTCTGTAGGCTCTTTTCCGCACTGGTACTTCATCGGTGGTTATTATCTTGTTTATAACTTGTGTGGCTCCAGTAGCCTCAGTCCAGACATTGGACCACTTCTGCAGCAGTGGCCGCACCACCTCTGGCTGAGCCTGCAGGAGGGGAATGACAGTGTGGGTTTGTTCGGCAACGTAAAAGTTCACTGAAGGTGGCTTGTGACTCCAGTGCAGCGTTGCTCTTACCTTGGGGAGAAACGCGTACTCTTTGCCACCCGGCATTATGTAACGTCTACAATGTGGCTTCAGAGTTACTTGGCACATGGACATAAAGTCGAGTCCCAAGAGAAGTGGCATGCAGAGGTTGTCGTCAGCAAGAACGTGGACTCCGAGCATGCCATGGAAATCGTGGAGACAAAAGAGCAAGGTGGCTTTCCCAAGAGCCTTGTTCTCTTGACCATTGGCCATTACGAACTTTGGGATTTCACTCGACGCTAGAATCTCTCCGTCCTTCTTGATGGCCTTCCATAGTGAGTGGCTCATGAGGGAGTAAGTGCATCCCGAATCGAATCGAAAAATACCGAATGTCACCCCTCCTGAGCGACACTAAGGTAAGGACCTATGCGGGCGGACTCGAGTGTCTATGCTTCGTGTGTCTCTGGTTCTGTCCAAGTGTCTATGATCCGCGTGTCTCGCGTGTCTCCGCCTGTCTGGGTTCTGTCTGCGTATATGTAAATGTAAATGTAAATGTCTGTCTGTGGTTCTGTTCGGGTGTCTATGGTCCTGTCTGTGGTTCTGTTCGCGTGTCTATGGTCCGCGCTCGGAGCCCAGACGGCAGTGCGTTCACTGAGCTGTCAGAGCGGGGGTCACAGCAGCTGCTCCCGGGGCCAGAGTGGAGGATGTAACGTAACGTTCGGTTTATCAAAACATATCACAATATTTAACGTATAACACTAGTGAATTTCACCTAGATTTTTTCAGACATTAAAGACAAGATGTTATATAATAATTGTTTAATGAAAAAACGGGGGGTGACAGTAGCTCAGTTGGTAGAGCATTGGCCTTAAGCCCAGAAGGTCGTGGGTTCAATTCCCACCTCTGCACCTTCTCCACCGACTCCCACTGATGACTGCTGTTGTTGTGTCCTTGGGCAAGACACTCACTGAGAGCAGCCGTCCTCCTGTGGACTCACCACCTGCAGAGGATCAGTGAGGGGCTGGTGCTATGAGACTTGGGTGGCATCTCTGATTGCCACCCCCCTGACCCAGAAATGGATTAAAGGGTAGAAAATGGATGGATGGATGGATGAAAAAACAATTTTGCCAAAAAAATGACAATCGACCTATTTTTACTGTTTACTCGGAACGTGCCAGCGTGACATCCGACGGGTTTTCCCAGATCGCATCACATATATGCAATTTAATTATAAAGATTAACATTAGTACAAAATATGTATATGTTGTCTGTTATGCTCTTACTTTGAAAAAGCATTCAATAGCAACACATATACATTCACATGCACGGCTTGAACACACAGCCAATTTTACACATTTCCTTTTGACAAGGAAAGAAGATAACAATCTGATAACGTTACGTAATTGCACACAAGCAACCAAAAGATGTGCAACCAAAATTGCCTCAGACAAGAATCGAACCTGGGTTCTCCAGGTCACAGTCTTCAATGCTAACCATTCGGCCAACATAGAATCTCTGGGCCAGACAGGTTTGCACGCAGTATCATACCTGAGCGTCTAAGTCGCTGGCAGAGCTAAAGCGGACTTAACCTGCCACCTTGTGGCGATAAGATGTAATATTTTTCACGCAGCTGCGTGATTCCCGAAAAGCGTGAGTGAAGACGACAAAACAAAATGGGACCTACTGTACCTTCACTAGAGCGTTGGTGGGGTCTAAACCCAGACTGGAACATATCAAAAGAATTATTCATTGTTAAAAATTTAGTGAGTTGTTGGGAGGCAACTTTTTCAAGGATTTTTCCAATGAATGGCAGATTCGATATGGGACGATTTTGAAGTACTGCAGGATCCAGACTGCTCTCTTTCAGGAGGAGCTCAAAATGCCTTGCTGGCTGTTGCATTGTTATACGTGCTGTGGAGGTGATAGTGTTTTTGATTCTTTGTACTTTATCATTGAAAAACTACGCAAACTCGTTACACTTAGATTTGGAGGTAAGTTCTAGGGGCAACTTAACAGGAGGGTTTGTTAATCTACCAACTGTTGAAAAAAGAACACAAAGATTGTTACTGCAACTTTCAATAGTGTCCGAAAAAAAAGTTTATCTTGTTCTACGTAGAACCCGGTTAAATTTACCCAACTCATCTTTGAAGATTTCATAATCACCCTGGAGGTTGGACTTTCGCCACTTACGCTCGGCCCTCCGGCACTCTCGCTTCTGCGCCCTGACCGAGTCCGCCTTAATCCATGTGGCCCTTTGCTTACTGGTAACCATTTTAACCGTCACAGGAGCAATGGCGTCCAGAACCGTCAAAACACCGGTGGTGACAGAGTTAAGCAATTCATAAGCAGTAGACCATGGAGTGCTCTCAAATTTGATCATTCCCATGAACAATTCACTCGTGTTTTCATGTATGTGTCTTCTTCTAACCATTGTGGATTCAGCTGGTGGTTTGCTAGCAAAACATAAGTCAAAGAATACACCGAAATGATCTGCCAGAGCAACATCGACTACATAAACATTTGATACATTAACCCCCTTTGTAATTAGCAGGTCAAGAGAGTGCCCTCTGCTGTGGGTGGGGCCACTCATGTGCTGAATGAATGAAGTAGAGAGGTAGAGAATAGAGTAAAGCTAGTCATTCTGTAGAAATATGCAACCACAAATTGTTACTAAAGGTTTCGTGCTGTAACACTTCAGTTATACAGTATGTACTATACTGTATTGTATGTTTCACAAAACATTTTTTTTTCAAAAGGAGCAAAAGCCAACTTGCAATACAGTACATGTGATACAGTACTGTAAATACTATAGGTACAGTCTGCAGTAGAGAGTTACAGTACGTGTGATAAAATACAGTACTGTAAATATTATAGATACAGTCTGCAGTAGAGAGTTGGAGACATGTTTCCATCTGAAGGTCTTGATGATGGAGCTGTGTCTGGACTCTTTGCTTCCCTCCTTGTGAGGCCATGGTTGATCACATGATCCACTAAAGTTACTCTAATGTCATCAGAAATATCTTCAACCATGTCCTACACTCTCTCCTTGCCTTCTTCTTCCTCTACCTCTTGCTCTTTATCCTTACTTGCAAAGTTCTGAAAAATGGCTAATCTTTGTGTCTGGCTGATGTGTGTCGCGTTTTTTAAGTCAGTGTTTTCAAGTGTGTGTCTTAGTGTTTTCAATCACACAATGTGTTTGGTGTTTTGAATTGATGCGTTTTCCCAATGAAAACTCAGGATTGCATTTATGAACAAAGTGTCTTATGTATGACACAGTGTGTAGTGAGCAGGAGAAAGTGTGTTGCAGAAAGAAAATGTGTGTTGCAGAAGGAGAAAGTGGATTGCAGAAATGAAAGTAAAGTGCAAAGCAGTACTTTTGTTTAAGGAATGGTTAGACTGTGTTTTAGGTTCAGTACAAACGCTTCAGGTTCTGTAACTTTGGTCTAAGCATTTGTCTATAGAAAAAAACTGTAAAGACAACAAAACAGCAAAGCAGCAGCTACATGACTTCTTTCCATGACAGAACCGCTGCTGCTGCTCCTCATCTCCTGATTGGTTGACGCCCGACGTGAAACTCGAAAAGCTCAGCTTTTCTCAACTTCGGCGTTGAGGGATTTCTGACGCGCGTAATGCTCTCGTCTTTTGAAGCTTTCGACGAACGCCAAGTGGCCAGCGGCGGTCTCTCAGTCTATATTACTTCTTGCTCTGATTGAAGGTCCAGTTGAGAAAAAAAAATCTCAATCAAATCATCCCTTTTCAAGCAAAAGAAATAGCACCAATAGGACTGATTTCTTGGTTAGCAACTCGGGTACAAACTCCATGCTCACTATCGCCTCTATTGGTGAGGCACAGATACTGCCTGCCTCACACCAAGCTTTTTCCTTCTGTATTCTCCTCCAATAAAAAGAGTTGAACTAAATATATTTAGAGAACATATATTGTATGATGTTCTCTAAATAGGCCTCTAACATTGGCCACTCCAATGTGTTTATTGAAAATCAGGAACTACACATATGATCTATTCCCATGTAAGCTATTGTATAACTAGTTGGTATAACAATCCTAAAGCCAATCGAGAAGCTCTACAAAAAGGGACTGAAAGTTTTAGACAAAAAACCCTACACTTATCAGCATTGTAATATCCTCACAAAATATAAACTATTAAGTTTTGAGAACTTTATCAAATTCAAAAATGCTTGTCTCATGTACAAAAGTTTTCATGGGTTAGCCCCCCTCTATGAAGGATCACATTAGATATAAAACTTCAACTTCACGAACCACCAGAGCCATGAGTCGAGGTGATTTTGAGGTTCCTGTGAGAAAAACTACTTTCGGACAAAATGTTCTGTCGTACAATGGCTGTGTACAATGGAACAGTTTTCCGACTTCTGTAAGAGAGGCCCTTAGTTTTACTTCATTTAAAAGTTTCCTAAAGGAGTGGTTAAGGTCGTTCCAAACATGAAACCATTAATAATGTGGGAACGTGCAATAGGGTTTTGTTTGTAAATAGTGTGTAGATTGGGTTGACTGTAACAACAACAACAACTTATATTGTATACTGTAGCCCTAAATCACAACAGCAGTCATCTCAGAGGACTTAATAAAACCATTGAAATCACCAACACAGATCAGAGAATCAACAGCTAAGACTCGAAAAATACACATATTAATTGGTCCATAGGGAGACACCAATATCCACGAATGTTGATAAATGTCCATACATGTTGTAGAATGTTAAAGTGTCCTGGATCATCACCACAGTCCTTCTAGTTGGACACTAACTGCCCAACAGACCCTCCTGCATCGGCAAGGAAAAACTCATAAGAAAACCCAGTGAGAAAAAGTGAGAAACCTCGGGAAGACCCACATATTGAGAAAGGGATCCACTCCTAAACGGATGGACGGGCTAATGATCCAGGACCTAAGCTACAGAACGAGGACCAATGCCACGCAGCGGACGCAGAGCGTGGACAGGTCCGGTGCAGGACTGAAGCGCTCTCAGGCAGGTCGGGCAGGACTGTCCGCAGGTGCAGATGGAGGCGGGCAGGGCAGTCCACAGGTTTAGATGGAGATGGCTGGTTCAGAGGTCCCGTTGTCGCGCCATGAAACAGACAATAGGACAACGGGTGAATAGCAATGAACACACTACAGTCAAAATCCTAATAATCAGACAGATGCAGGACTGAAGCGCTCCCAGGCGGGTCGGGCAGGGCAGTCCGGAGGTGTAGATGGAGGAGGCCAGGTTCAGAGGTCCCGTTGTCGCGCCATGAAACAGACAATGGGTGAATAGCAATGAACACACTACACTCAAAATCTTAATAATGCAGATATTGTATATACTGTAATGC